TTGTAGTATATGATTCTCTGGTTTGAAATTGCAACATTGCATTTGGAATTTCTATTTTGTTCTTTCAAATAGTTCCTGGTCAAGTTGTGTTCTTTTAGCAAATGTAACATCAATTGGAAATTGGTGAACTAATTGTTGAATGTCACATTCTGATTAGTTTGGGAGATGGGAGCAACAGGTCTGTTCACAACATTATTTGGTTTATTACTTATATGAATAAGGACCTGGTGGCTGAGTTTCAGGATAAATTTCTAAATTCAAAGCATAATAAGTCTTAATAGCTACAAGGCATAAATTTTTATGCCACGTTTGGAAGGTTTTTTTTTTTTTTGGCATATATGGCCTAAAGCTACAGCAGCTATAAAATGCTGCAAGATATTCATCAATAGTCATGTATTCAGATGGTGTGAAAATTGTTTGGCAATTACCTACAAACTCTCAAATAATGAGTGGGTAGCAGCCAGATTACCAGTTCTTTTTCTTTCTTGTCAGGTAGTTTTGTCATCGAACAGGCAATTTTGAAGGAGATAAAATCTCAGCATAATTATTATTCTAAAAACCTCAAGCCCACACCTATCACTTTTCCATAAGTCTTTTACATTCTTTTGATTACCATGAGAAAGCCCTGCTAAGTACAGCAGACCTATGAATGCTTTCAGTTTAGCTAGTGCAGTACCATAATAAATACATTGTTGAGTATGACTATTGGTGCATACAGAATGCTTTAGTTGTATTTCTGCATTTGTATATTTCACATCTTATAGTATTTCATCTGTTAACATTTCTAACATGGAATGGCAGTGTTGGCACTCTGACCTGTAGGTTTCACCCTTGCAAAGATCTTCACTATATTTTCAGACCTAGTTCTAACATTGCAAAGATCTTCACTATATTTTCAGACCTAGTTCTAACATTGGATCATTCCATTTGGTTGTGTGACCATTTTGTTGCATTTCAACCAATCAAATATATACTCACATTGCTGTTTTCTTCATCTTCTGAATTAAAGAGATCTGCATTCCATGTATATGTATTGGTCCATTCTTGCACTATTCTCATGGAGCCAAGTCCATAGTCATTATCATCTTCATCATCCATGCATGAGTAGTCTGATGACTCAGTTTCAACCTTCTGCAAAGTTTGGAGATCTTGTTTTTCACATGCCATTGTACTGAACTAGTCTACTTCTACCAGAAAAATCAAAAGAAAACCTTTTGAAGAACAAATCCTAAATGCAAAGAAATTTAGCATGGTACATTTCATGGGTAAAACTCACCTGTTGGAGTTCCTGTATATGCCATGCCTTTCATCTGCTAAGTGTGTGGATGCTCAGATAAATTTTTGCTTCCCCTAAGCACAGCTACTGTGAGTCACACTCTCATTTCATTATGATAAAATATGTATTTACATAACAGAAGAGTGGATTGTGTATTTTACCCCTGTGATGCTTAGGTAAACATATGCAAAACCTGTTAGAGCATTATGTAGGTAAAAAGCCCAGTTTGACACTTTTGCACACATCCACCCACCTTGCTGTTCATTGTACCAAATGAATAAACAAAGATTGCTTCCTGTGTCCCCCAGACATAGCTACTGAGACACACAGCTGGCTACTATTATTCTAAAGTACAAATTTACAGTAGAAAGGTAGGGGATGGGTTGTTGTAATCCAGTATTACACCCTGTGGTTAATAGATAGTTCTTTGTGACTGTTGATGGATTAATATTCCTCACACCCTGATAGTGGCTGTGATTACTTCACACTCAGCAACTGCAGGTATGCCAGTGGACTGTGATCATCTGAGTTTGCTTTTTTATTTTTTTTAATTAAGTGCTGGGCCATTGGAACCTTGAGCTCTGTCCCTCTGGAATTGTAGAGGTGAAAGAAAAGAAGGAAAACCTATGAGAGTGAGGAAGGACAGGTCAAGTGTAGATGAAATATACATTTGGCCTCCCAGCTGAGTGCATCATTTCCTAGGCTTGCTCCAAGTGGGAGCTGACTTGGATTTCCTGCCCTGGTAACCCATTTGACATTTGAGAGGGCAGACAAAGGGCACCATCAGGAAAAGATTTAATGCTGCTAATAACTACAAATCATTGGCCCTGGAAAGCTGGGATTCAGAGAGGTTCTTTGCTTTCTTTTTATTGTAGGGGAATCAAGCTTCAAAGCACCTGAATACCTGTGCCCCCAGGCTTTCCTGATGGTCTGGAAGTATTCCAGGCCTCAGACTGGCCTGTTGCCATGCTTCCTTTGCTTAGCAAGAAGGCATCTTTCATGAGAGAAAACATAGCTTGACTCCAGAAGAGACTGAGGAGAAAGCAATATGAAGGGGCCAAACATAGGAAAAGCAAAGAAGGAAGCTTTCTTAGTTGGCATGATTAGAATATACCAGAGATGATGAATCTTTTGGAGCTTTCAATGATACAAACAACCTACTGTAGCTATGCGATGCATGCGATGGGATAGACTGACATTTCCATTAGGTCTTTCAAGCAAAAGAAAGAGTAGTTTTGGGATTGTAGCAGTAAAGTGGGTTGCTATCTTTCCCTATGTTGAAGGTTGTAGCTAGAAAAAGACTTTCTGACCTGCAACACCTTCACTCACCTCTCTGCATGTCATATTTTATTTATTTTGTTTTCAACTCTAGCAAACTTTTAAGAAAATCATTTATGCTTAATTAAATAAAACTATTCACATTCTGGGCTGGAAGAACAGAGGTCAAATAACGCCAGACTCTCTTGCCAACCTTTGCTGAACCCTGTTAAGCAGCTGTAGCCCCAGCTCTCCCACTGGAAAAGGCATCCTTGACAATGTTAATAGTTTTGACCTCTGAGTTCTAGCATTTCAGCAAAAAGTCCCCAAAGTAACAGGGAAGGCATTAGAAAAACTGGTGCCTAAGGCTAAACTTGGACCCCAGACAAAGAAGAAGGGCAGAGTAATTCTGTGGAGACAGGATAATCTGTACACTATAGAGTGAAGATAAAAACAGTTTCACTACTAAGAAGTATTTTCAGTTCTGTGGCAAGCAGATTGAGAAGGTAGACCTGAGGCCAAGAGGATAGACAACAGGCCTGAAGAAATTCAGCTCTGGCCAGCTCGATCAAGTAACATAATATATTTTATTTGCCTGGGCTCAGCAGATGGTTAACTAGCAGTGTTGGATCATAATGGGCCTCTTCTGGGAGCCTTGAAAATAGTTTTTCTCACTTCCGTAAACATAACAATGCCCACCAAAAAATTATGGGTGTTAATTTCATCAGTGGAAATCCAGGGAGATCATCTACTTCTCCAGTTTGCTCAAGGGCTGGAGGGAATATTTATATCTTCTCTCATGCCAGCTTGATTTAACAGCACCCAAAGACCTTTCTCTTTGTTTATATTCTAGGGAAGTCATTCCATCACGGAATAAATTACAAGACATTTCCAATAAACTCATCAGTCTTTTTTTTTCAGATTGAGAGAGAGGTAGTGTGGAATAAGGATGAGAAAGACAAAGCAGACCAGAATGATATAAATAATTTTAGTCAACAGTTTGTAGGCATTTTTAAAATCAAAGCTTTTATCATTATTATGAAGAGAAAAGAGCTGACTGGCCAGCAGCCAGATTGAGCCTCAGGAATCAATGTCTTCCTAGAAGTCTGTTGTTGTCTAGTCCTTCAGAAGGCCCTCATAGGTGCAGTATTGAAAGAAGGCCTTTACAAGCTGGTTCAGCTTAGACCGGGCCTGGTCATGCTTCCAAAGCACCGTTTTCATTACCAGGTGAAGCCTTCTGCTTTCCTTCTCAGTTCTGGTTTGTCTGGCATATATCCTTGGCACTGAGGGGTCCACCTGGCAAAGCCTGTGCTCCCAATTCTGTCAGGAATGCCCAGACTTGGTAAGGATGATGATACCGTCTAGCTTAGAATGCTTACTCTGACTTAAAACACTATATTGTTTTATATAACTTTTGTCACTTAATCTTTGCAATGACCTTGTAAAATACAGTATTACTGTTAATCTTGTCTTGCAGATGGGCCTTAGAGAAATTGACTTGCCAAAACCATACAGAGAGTAGAAGTGCTAGACCTGAAAGCTGGTATAAATAATCCTCAAAGCCATACAATATATTGCTGGATGTTTTTCTTGATTTCTTAACTTACTCTTTACCCATCTGGGGCTATTCTCCTGTCTTGAACTCAGGATGATTAGATTAGAGCCCCCTTAACTTTTGTCACCTCCTCTCACAAGGACAGAGAAATAGGCAGGACATGGTGGTACATGCCTGTAATCCCAGCACTTGCCTTTGGGAGGCTGAGGCAGAACGATTGCCATTAGTTTGAGGCCAACCTGTGCTACATGGTGAGTTCAAGGCAAACCTTAACTACATGGTGAGACCCTGTCTACAAAAAGAAGGAACTGCCGTACATAAACCTCCATGGAATCAGGATATTCTTCTGCATGACTGATTAAAGATCGATCCAGAAGTATCTGCTACTACATCTCATTCTCCAGATTAAACCCCTTGGATAATATTGCTGGCCCAGATCAGACTCAATTTCATTATACATCATGATGTTAAAGTTAGTCATCTTGAGAAAACCAACGCTACAGCCTGGTTCCTTCCCAGTCCTTCCCTTTCCTGACATACTGTCTCCCCAACCCTTCCACAGTATTGAGTCTCACTGTAAAACTCACATAGGTTATGGCAGATTCTGAGCTTTGTTGACTCAGAAACTCAGTTTATCAGCTCACTTGGGAAAGCCATACTTGGAGAAACCATCCATATTGGAAACAGTTCATAAGCAAGAATATCAGTTTAAGATTTTTTTCTTTTTTCTTGTCATTTATTCTTTTTTTCCAGGGCACATTATCATGGAATTAGAACTCACAGAGAAAAAAAAACCAGAATTAGAACTCAAAGGAAGTTAGATTGATGAAGATTAAGCCCAGAATAGAGCAAAGAAACTGACTTATCCTAAATGACATTTTATTCGGACTCTAAAAGAACTATTTTTGTTCTTTTCAGTGCACAGAACATTTGTCCCTGACAGTCATCTGAAGATCTGGGTTCAAGGCCAGGTACTGCCACTTACTATCCTTGTAATCATGGACAAAGCATTTAACCTCCTCAAGTTGTTTTGTAGTTAGTAAAATAGAAATAATAATATCTCACACATGATTCATGATGTTCAAATCAAAGTTATAGATAAGAATGCTCTGTATGTCACTTTTTACTATGGAGAAATGTCAAGAAGATATATTAATTTGAAACTCTGTGAAACCAGTTCTTCATAAGCCATCATCTGATTATGCATCCCAAATTGCCACTTTTCTGGGGAAGGGTGTAGTTGTTTCATGAATGGGTGGGCCTACGATTCTAAATTCTAGATGTTTAAGTGATGCAGATGCTGCTGGACCACACTTTGAAGGAAGATTTTAGATGCCTTTGGCAAGTTTCATTGCAGATGCATAAGAGACTGTGAATTTAAATATATACAGTAGATGAATATATACAGTATTATATGCCAATTAAAAATTCTGTCATTGTGTGAAAAACCCCACAACAACTAAATGCAATATCTAATTCTAAATTGACTTCTTTAATGGAAGAAAAAAGTTCAGTAAAGGATATTATTGTGGGCACTTAACAAAATTGGAATATGGTCAGTTGATTAGACAAAATGATTGCATCAGTGTTAACTTTACTAAAATTAATGATGGTATCAGAGAGAGACAGAGACAGAGTGAGAGAAAGGAGAAAGAGAACAATGATAAATGATAAAGCAAATGGGGTGAAACATTAGCAGTAGGTACATTTGGCTGAAGGGTGTATTGGTATTCTATGCACTATTTCTATCACTGTATAACTGATATGAGTTTCAAGTAATTTTCAAATAGAACATTTTAAAAATTGGAAAGAGCAACAGAATTTCTGCAGTGCCAAATGCCATGGTTACAGAGTGAGCTCATTGAAGATGACTGTTCAGGATGGTTGAACTCCTATATTCTTTTTCTGTTCTTTGAGTTTCATGGCCTTACTCTCTCTTATTTCCCTTGTGACCTTTATGACTACGCCTTACCTCCTCAATAGATTCCTCTTCATTTGTGCATTAATGTTGGCGATTCTTTGGGTTCCTTCGCCTTCTGATTATTTTATTTTTTGTGGGTGATCACAGAGGAGTCTCTAGTATGAACACTTGCTTGTCTTGCCCAGGCTGACGTCCTCCTTCTCCCACACTCCCATTGCATTTTGTTGTCAGATTCACTGTAGCATAAGACAGTTTTATTTTACTGCATCATTATGCAATTATTGCCTTCATGGTCTGTGACTTACTTTTTGAGAGCTGAGTACAGCTTTCCATCTTTGTATCCTTTGTGCCTAGCATAGTGCTCAGGTTCCATAATGTTGGAAGAATAAAGAAAACAAACAGACACTGAGGCAGACACCACAAACAGCCATCTGAATAGACCAGATGGTAAATGTTAGCATTTGGACACCCTGTGGAAACACAAAGCCCACTAAAATTCTGTTGTGTATGTGTATGTGTGTGTAAATTACCTCTTGGGATAGTCTCAAGATACCAATAGCAGCTGGGGAAGACACCTGAGCCAAGTTTCCTCTGTAAATTATTTCTGGACTCCTTTTTTCAGACTTAAACAATAGGCTGTCAAAACTGTCAAAAAGAGGAAGCATGTTTCTTTTGAGAAAAATTATTTATCACGGCTTTCTACTGTATTAAAACAAAGCAGCTCTTCCAGAGAAGGAAGGTTATGGACTTGCCAAAACTGTGGCCTCTACCAAAGCTCATAGGGGACTTGAATGACCAAGTAAATGGTGGCCATCAGGTGAGAGGTCCTAGCCAATATTTCACATGTGTTTAGATTCAGTTCAGTTAATTCAAAAAGCAAATATTCAATATACTTTCTGTGTGTTAGGCTTAGACGACATTAGGAGAGAAAGAAGAAAATGGTGTGGTTTCTGACCTCAGAGACCTCATAGACCAGCTGAGGCATTAGATATTTAGACCAATGAAGACAACTCAATGTGATGAATGCCATAGAAAGATATAGATACAAATATAAATATAGATTGTACTATGAATTAGAGTGGGCAAAATAATTAGAAATATAGTGGAAAATATTCCGTATATTCTCTCTTGGATCATTCATCAAACCTTTTTTTTTTTTTTTTTTTTTTTTTTTTTGGTACCAGGGATCGAACTAAGGACCTTGTGCTTGCCAGGCAGGTGCAAGCAGACCTTAACCCCTGGCCTACACATCAAAACTCAAACTGCACCATATACCTCTAATTCATGCATACAAATCAGACTGAATTAATATTTTTGACTATGCTGTCCCTGCTCAACCAGCAAGAATGTTTTGTTTTGTTTTGCTTTTTTCTGGTACCAGAGATTGAACTCAGGTCTTTGCGCTTGCAAGGCAGGCCACCGAACTGCTGAGCTAAATCCCCGGCCCCAGCAGGAATGTTTTGATGTAGGGACATATAAGTAAATGACCTTCAATATAGTGGAAAATGATAGGATCATTAGAGATAGTACATGGAATTTAGGACTCAAACAGGGAGTAGCACTACAATCTCAGTAGGAGGTGTGAAAGTCCTTCCTGGGCATACTGGTATTTAGGATGTTCAGTTTATGTCTCCTTATTGTGGCTCTGGCTCTGCTCCTAGGTTAATATGTGATTTTGGATCTCCTTAGTTAGACATTATAGAACCAAAGGTCTTAGAGAAGGTGACACAATGACTAGGCTATTATATAGTTCCTTGGAATCTTAATTTTGCCTAGGATGCTAGGCAGCTGAATGGTGGCTTTGTTGCTGGGAAAACATAAAAGAGGCTTATATGGCCATGTTTGGATGGTTAAAAACTGATAAGTAAAGCAAATGTGGGTTGGAGAAGAGAGGAGAGGGAGAGGGGGAGAAAGAGAGAAAGGACAAGGAGGAAGAGGAAGAAAAGGAGAAAGATGAGGTATAGGAAGTGGACACTGAAACAGATACACACAAGTGGATATATTTTTAGGAATCTTTGGTTGCGAATTCCTACATTTAATTTGAGCTTGTTAAACTGAAGAGAAACCTTAATTATGAAGATTCAGGTCACAGAATGTGAGGTCAGAAATATAGATGCCTATGTCAGGAAGGGACTGAAGCTAGAAATGGAAAAGCTGTTAGAACCTGGCTGTTTCTCACCATATTCTGGTTTCACCCTTTTCTATTTGTAGACTAATTTTCTGTGCTTAGTTGATCTACCTTGTGGGCACAAGATGGCCATCCCATAATTTTTATATCTTCTTTGATCAAGACCTTGGGCCAGTTTAAACCAGGGTCTAATTTTGAGTCTTGCTTTTAAATTCGGATTGCCCCAGATATATCACATATCTCTTATTGGTCTAGTAAATGTGACCTTGGCGGGGGAACAAGATGATAAAGCCAGTGCATGGCTATCAGGGAAAGGGCAGTCAGGTTTAACTGAGAAGCCACCCTTAACACTTTATGCTATAGCTAGAAAATCACGGTCTGGGGAGAGAGCTGACTCTCTAGTTCCTGTTTGTATTTCCTTTGTTTGTTTTTTTCTTTCCCCCTTTTCCTGCTAGATCCTGATTCCTTATATAAATCCCACTTCACTTAAGCTAGCCTGAGAGAGTTCCTACTGCTTGCAAGAAAAGAGCCTTTCTTAAGATTTCCACTGTCAGAGGAAGGATGAAAGAGGGCATACTAAGTTCAGCAATAGCATGGCCAAAAGCACAGGAATGAGAAAATTCACAGCTGAATGGGAAGAGTTCTCCAAATGCAGCAGGGGGTTTCTGAAGAGATGGTGTGGAAAATGAGGCTGGAAAGGTGAATTGAGGATGCTTCACACTGGCCTTGGAAATTACCCTGTTGGTAGTTTGGAGGAGGAAAGGTAACCTGGCAGGTGTTAGAATACCAGAGTGATGGTATCTGACCAGTGCTGGGATGTTTTCTGTGCCATAGTTTGGTAGTGTTTGGATTGTAACTTCAGGGTTATATGATAGATATAAAATTCCACTTTGTAATCAAGAGGGACTGAACTCTAAGATTATCACAGAGGCCTTGTTTGCTGACCCTTTGCTGAGAAATACTAGATGCCCAGAGTAGATCTGTTGGAGTCCCATTCACACCCTCTTCACCTGCAAGTGCACCCAATGCTCCAGTTGCCACAAGTGCTGCCGCCAGTGGCTTACATCTGTCGCCTGGGGAATCACCTCTCTGGGAGATAAATGGGAAGGTGCAGCATTCCATCAGTGCGGTCAATGACTGGATGCTTTATCAGAGTGCAAGAGGCTGGCCCCTTTGCCTCAAAGTGGGACAGTATTGCATCATACATCATTTCTCAGAGCCTAGCAGCTCACACAACGCTGGATGTTACCTGAGACCATGTCTGGCTTCCCTCGCTGGCTTCCCTCGCTGGCTTGAAGGTTTCTCCTGATGAGCCTATCCTCAGTAGATCACAGGCACTTACATCCCTTTTGCTGCTTCTGCTTCAAGGCACCCTGCCCTAAGGCAGTGCCATTTATTGAAATGACTATTCCAAATCACACAGGTTGCTGTATGTCCACTTCCTTAGAGCATAGCCATGAAGAGCTTGGATTCACCTGCATTGTAGTCTTGGCCATTTTACCTCATAGCTCCTGGGCTGGGCAGATTGCTCAGTTCCATTGTCCTTATTTGTAAAATCTAAATAAGATAATTATAGTACTTAAGGTTGATGTGAGGATTAGGTAAGATAATAGATATGAAGCTCTCAGTTCAATACCCATTGAAGACAGCGCTTTAACCATTATTATCATACAGACTGTGCACTGCACAACGGTCTGTATATAAGAAATAGATGGATATATTTGTTTGAAAATATATTTTAATTAATATGTAAGAGTAATTTTATATATTTATGGTCTACACTGATATTTTGATGCATATATGCAATATGTAATGATTAAATCAGAATAGCATTTCTCTCACTTCAAATATTTATCATTCTTTGATTCTGAGACCACTCAAAATCTTTTCTTCTAGGTATTTTAAAATATACATTAAATTGT